GGGTGTCGTGGGTTCAGGATATGGAGATAAACTGTTTTTCTCCCATCTCCACTCACCTGAAAGTTGCCTTCAAATGGCTTCTCAATATTTAGATTTGTAAAATAGACGTAGGCAATCAGCTTCAGGGAGGTGTCGCCTGGTGAGCGCTGATACCAGAGAATGGTATCGTAATTAGCGATGTTATGAGTGAAGGTCAGGTTCACTTGTGTGTTTGGTTCCACTAACAGTTGAGTTGGAGACTGAGACAGCTGTTTGTCTTTGCTGAGATAAGCTCCTGGAGAAGAAGAAGACGGGGAAAAAAGGAGAAAGACGTCTGAATATTTACCCTTTTTTTCTCTTTTTTTCTTCACATAAACTGATTTTGTAAGAGTTCGGTTTTACCTTTAATCCAGAACACGATTAGGATGGCAACGATGAAACTAGATGGCTTCATGTTGGATGTCAGCACACAAATAGTCTCTTTAATGCTTTGAGAGTCAGAAGGAGAGACAGGAAGTGATGTAGTGAAATCAGAGTCGTTCATCAACAGCTTGTGTTCTTGTTTTTTTTGGGGGGTGGGGTGGGGGGGTTTGGGGAGGGGGGTTAAGGTAAAACATACTTTTTGTTCTTTCTGGGGGTTTTGTGCAGAAATTATTGCTATTGATGCTTAATTTAAGAATATAAAAAATAATGCTTTTCCTCAAAGTCATCTTTAAAGGTTAGCTCAGAAAGTGTTGACACTGTGTTTCATCATGTCATCATTACTTCCCTCAAGTTAATTATTAACTGAAAAATTATAAATGTCTTTTTTCTTTTAGAGAATAATCTGTAAGATTTCTTGTTATCCAGAAAGCCTCCTTGACAAATACTTCCTGTAGCCGTGAGTCTTAGTGCTGCTAAATATGATGACTAATAGGTTCTTCTGTAACAGGAGACATGGGAAGAGGTTTTTGTTTAGAGCAGATGGGTGTTTGATGTACTGTGGTTGACTGGCAGCACAGAAATACGTTGCTGTATGTTCAGGTGCTTTTAGTTTGTTGATGAAAAGCGAGCCGTTCTTTTTATTCGAATTCAAATCCCCCTCTAATTTGAAATTTTCTTTAAATGGTTCCTCCGCGCTGTCATCTTTGAACTGTGTATATCCATATCCAACAAGTTTCAGAGCTGTCTCTCCAGGTAATCGCTGGTACCAAAGCATCACTCTGTAGTCACTTTTATCATGGGTGCAGATTAGCTGTACATCATCATTGACCTTTTTGATTACAGCAGACGGAGACTGACGGATCTCTATCCCCAGAGAAATGCCTGCTGTAAGCAGAGATAGAAAAATTAATGATTTTAAAATAAGCGAATGCAGCGTGTGTCACGTCACCACGAAGCAGTTACCTGTGAGGAAAAAGAAAAAAATAAATCTAATCATAACGTAGAGATGTGGCGATAAAGTCATGAATGTGCTGAAGCGTTTAAATTAACACCGTCTCTGCTGAAAGCACCGTGTCACTGAGCTGTTTGCCATTTCAGGAAGAAGCTAGTAAGATGTAGGCAGAAGGGGAGTGGCTTCAGCTGCAGATGAAGATATTTTAGTTTTTAATTCTTTTATTGTTTAGCT